CAGCCCCCAAAGACTTAGCAAGGCCAGACCACCCCAGGGCCCTGGACAATCTTACAATTGAAGAATCTCACCTTCAGCAGAAGGCAGGGACAGTCACCTCTGCATTTGATAGGAAATAAAGGATCAATAAAATATTTTAAGCAGCCCCTGTATCCTGATGTTTTATACTTTCTTACCTGCTGTGATAAAAGAAAACAAAAACCCTATCAAGGCCAGAGAAGAGAGGCACCCTTGATTTTGGAAGACCCTAAAATAGTGCTTTGCATACATTTTATTCTCATTTTATCCTCACCATAAACTGTGATTGTATTCATCTTACAGCTGAGGAAACTAAGGCTCAGAGATATTAAATCTGTCAATGGTCATACTGTAACTGGGAGCTAACACAGTTACCATCCCCACTTTCTGCCCCCAGTACAGCTGACCCATCGGATTCCTCTGCCCAGAAGACCTGAGTTCATAGAAGCAAAGATAGGCTTTGAAGGTTCAAATAATTTTTCCTTAGATCACCCAAGTTGGACTCTACTTACTTACTTTCGTTCCCAAAGAAGAAGCCAAACTGTTAACTCTGGAGAGAGTTTTAAGAATTGAACGAACTTAACTGGTAAATACAGGTAAATCTAAGCAAATCTTGATAAACCTAGGTAAGTCGTTATATAACTGTGGGGTGAAGCAGGCTCACTTGCCAAGACAACAAAGGTAGAAGCCATAAGGGAAAGGACTGATAAGTTTAGCTACATGAAGTTGTGTAACTTCTGCATGTCACCCAGGCTATCTACAGAGTAGAATTCCTCTCCGGGGGCTTCCTGAGCTGAAGCTAACTGACTGCCTATTTAGTACCTCCAGCTGTAGATCCTGACTTTGACATGGCTGTGGTCTATGAGGGTCACCATGTATCATTGTTCAGTGCACTACCTGTGCAACCATACATGGCAGCCCTGATGGTTATTCTTTCATGATGCCCCAAGTAGGGGATGGACCGCAGCCCACAAAAATCCCCCTGACAATAACACACACACGCACACACTCACACATCCCTAGACTTCACCTTATCCTCCAAGGAATTTTCTGGGTTACATCAAGGCTCTAAGTCCTCATATTCTCTAGTCCCTTTCTTAGTCTGGTCCCAATCATAGTTCCAAAGGAGAGGAGGTAGGTTGAAATACGACACTAGTGGTGCCAAGGTTATTTCATAGCAAGAAGCAGAGCTATGCTTAGTTACCCTAAACAAAATGTAGAAGGATTCACTCTAAAAACACTGGGCATGTCAATTGGATTCTTGGGTGTTAGCAGCAGCAACCAAGCCGGGGTGTCCGGATCAAGAGAGGATTACAGGAGAGCTCTGGGTGCTCACAGGATGGAGGGAAGCTGCCAGGCTCAGCTTGGGAAATGGACAGGACTCAGGGCAGTGGGAGTCACGGCTGTGATCCTTCATCCTAGAGCATGAAAAAGCTGGTCATTTGCTGTCACTGCGTCTGCCATGTCTGACTTCCTGAAGCTCCTTAAGGACTTATTTCAAGTCCTGGGAGACAGCATCCAACTGGCTGAGTCTGGGCCATGCTGCATGGTGACAGGGAGGGGGAGGCCCTGGCTCTGAAGCTTCCAGGAAGGCAGGTACTTCCGCTCCCTGTGACCACTTACAAGAAGCGGCATGAGGGCGTTTTAGGAAGGAGAAGTTAAAAGCTGGGAGCCAAAAATGACGAAGACTCACCTCCAGGGCCATCTCAGAATTTATGGGCAGAAACACTCATGAGAAATGGGATCCAGAAACAACAAGAAGGGTCTCTTTTTCCCTGTTCCCTCCCCCTTCCCACCCCTATCACCCCATGTATGAGTTCTTTATCTCTGCAGAACTTTCTCCACTTCTCCCCGCATGTGGCACGAGCCCCCATTTTATTCATCTCAGCTCCAGCCACACACAGAACCTAGCATCTCTCAGTCCCAATTCCAAATTCTTTGAAGAGATCTTCAGATGGGTTCAGCTTGAATCATGTGTCTTTCCCTGTTGCCAGGGGGTGGTCTCAGAGAACATGGTTCATTTAAATAGAGAAGACGCCCTGAAACATGTGCTACATACTGAGGAACAAAGTTGGAGTACGTTTCCACTAGGAGTTCGTATCTGTTCAGACCTGGCTGTGCATAAAAAGTCTGAAGAGAACTTGCTGCATGAATAAATAAGTAAAGAAGTTGCAAGGGGGATGTTTAACTTTTAGAGAAAACTGGTTATTTTTTATTGCAGTGTAGTTGATTTACAATGTTAGTTTCAGGTGTACAGCAAAGCACTTCAGTTATATGTATACATAGTATGTGTTAATACAAAAAATCGAATATAGTTTCCTGTTCTATACAGTAGATCCGTGTTATCTATTCTATATATAAGAGAAAACTGGTTCTTTTCAAATTACTTTAGTTACGCTGTATTTGCAAGCAGTTCAGTGCTTCTTAGATCCAGTTTTAGCTCTGTCTTACAGAAGGTTCATGTTTCTTTATGCATTGGAGTACAGCCCAACTGTACTTCTTTAAAAATAAACCATAATTTGGATTTCCCCTAGATCAACAGGGCCTCTTGCCCTCCTTCCCGATGAAATTAACTTTTACTCCTCCTTGATACTCTGCTCTAAAACTCTGAATCTCAAAAACTCCTACCACATACACAACACCCTATAAATATGGGTTAAACAAATGAATCAATCCACCAGCCAAGTACTCCATCCAAGTCAAAGGTTTTTTTTCCCTCCAGCAACACATCATGTCCAAGTTTAGCAGCAAGAAACTTGATCTGCTCCACCTGCCTTGCAGAACAGCCTTCCCACTTCCTCCCAGCATTACTATGTTCCATCCCCGCTTTCACCACCCTGGGCCAAGTCACCATCAAGTGACCCTCTGCTGTAGCTGCTAACTGGCCTCTTCATCTCCACTCCGGCCCCTTGCACCCCATTCTCCAAAAAGCAGCCAGAGGGAGGCGCTGAAGAGTAAACTAGATCCTGTCCCTCTGAGGGACTTGGCGGGCCTCAGGCAGCTCCCCACAGGCCTGGGTGGTTCTCTTCAGCCTCATGTATCCTCCAGCCCTCCCTCCCCAAACCTGCACTCCAGTAAGGATGTTCTTTCTTCCCTCTCTCTTCCCAGGACCTTGACCCAGAGCATATCCTTCCTTCTCTCTAGAGCCCTCTTGTCCTCTGCCCCAACCTCAGTCCTGCCCAGTGAACTCCTAACTGGCCTTCAGATCTCATCTCAAAGAGCTGTCACTGTCCCCGGACTGGATGAGGGCTCCCTGCTATCTGCTCTCACGCACCACCATTTTCTGTCCTTTATCACACTTACTGCAACGATGGAAGATTGGCTTAATTCTTTGGAAAGTGTCAGTTTCGCCACTTAAGTGGAAACTCCTTAAGGTCAAGGACTCAGTTTTCTCAGGCTGCCATAACAATACACCACAGACTGGGTGACTTAAGTGACAGAAATGTATTTCCTCACAGTTCTGGAGGCTAGAAGTCCGAGATCCATGTGTCGCTCAGCAGGTCCGGTTTCTTCTGAGGCCTTTCTCTGTGGCACGTGGATGGCTGCCTTCTCGTGGTGTCCTCACACGGTCTTTCCCCTGTGTGCTTGTGCCCCTGGGGTCCCTCCGTGCACCCAACTTTCCTCTTCTCAGAAAACCTGTCAGGTTACATTGGATTACAGCCCACTCCAACAGTCTCATTTTGACTTAATCACCTCTTTTAAAGGCCCTGTCTCCAAATACAGTCACATTCTTAACTGGGGTTAGTGCTCCAATGTACAGATTTGGGGAGAACACAAGTCAGCCCATAGCAGGGACCATGTCGCTTCTGGTCACCATTGTGTCCCCATCACCCAGGACTGTGCTTGGCATGTTGTAAGACTCCATACATGCATGTGGACTGAATGATGAAATTTAAGCCCCCTCATTTTTCTCTCCACCCAACCACATATTGTGCTAGAGGCAGAGGAAAGAGGAGGCACTGACTGCAGCAGGAGGACCATAAGTGACCACAGGGAATTTCTGCTCTTCTGATCCTAAAATCCCAGACCTTTGGGGGAGTGTTGCTCCCTCCTGGTACCTTCCTATGGGGCAAAGCCAGCCCCTTGTCAGTGGCTGACTCTTCCTGCCCTGGGAGAGTGTGCTATCCCCTTGGGCTGCTGGCGGAGGAGAAGTTTTGCTGACAGCTGCACACTTACACTCATCCAAGTGGCCCACTTTAGAAGGTGAGTCACCCAACTGCTAAGAGCAGGTCCACATAGCTCCCGGAAAGCAGTTTAGCAACAGGTACTAGGGCCAAAAAAAGGCATGTTCTGTGCCCTGGTAATTCCAAAGCCGGGAATCTCATTTGAGGAACATGTAGAGGGACTCAAGGGGGGTTTATAACCCAGTTTTTACATAAAAAATAATTTCTTACTACTCCGCTGGTAAGAAAATGGGAACAGCCTAAATGTGCAGCAATAGGAGAAAGTTTTGTGAATTTAATATATTCATATGATAGAAAAGTATGTAGCTACTGAAAAAAACTTCATAAAGAATTTGTAATGATGCAAAAAAAATGTGACATGAAAAAGCAGGGCACAGAAAAATGCAGACATTCTGATCTAAGGTGTACAATAAATACTGTAATTTACATACATATACGCATGCGATTTACAGGAAAAAGCCTGGCTTGGTAAATATTCTAATGTTAATACTGTATTTCTCAGACTTGGCGATTTCTTTCATGCTGCAGTGCTAAAAGTAGCATGTGTTGTTTTTACATGCAGACGAGGGGTACAGTTTTTAAGGCAGCCGGCGCTGCCGGTCAATGAAATTCCTTAGCTCGGGTCTTCCCTCGGAAAGCGTCGGTCCTGCGCCTGCTCCCCAGCGCGTCCCTGGGGCGGTCCGACTGGCTCCCAGGGAGAGTGCTGGAATCCTCGCGGCGGGAGGAGGCGACGGGCTTGGCGTCGCGCACGGCTGGAGGTGGGCGGTCAGGGGAGGGACCAAGCCTGCCCCTGTTCAGGAGTGAGATCTGGACTGCGCCGGGCGCCCAGATCCAGTCCCCGGCCACCGCGACCGCCGCCCAGACCGCTGTTCCACCGCCAGGTGCAAAATGCCGTGTCATTGGGAGAGTCTGCGGTCGGAGCATTGAATTACAGCTCAGCCGAGCCCCGGTAGGGCGGCGGGGGTGGAGGATGAGCAGAAGCCCCTGTTCTCCTCGGAGCGCCCGCTGAAAAGCGGACTAAGCGCAGCTGGGGTGGGGAAAGAGCGGAGCCCACAGGAGCAGCCCGGGACTGGCCTGTTCCTCTTCAAGAGCCGCGGCTCTGAGCCAGAAGCCAGTGATCCGAGCTGGCCCCCCTCCGCTAGCCCTCTACAGTGAGGGACCCACGAGCTGCGCCTCGGCCCTGTCCGACCTTCCCCAGCCCTCTCCGCGCCCTGGGCGCACGGGGCACTGACTCGCGCCAGTCATGCTGAGAGTCTTCATCCTCTATGCCGAGAACGTCCACACCCCGGACTCCGACATCAGCGATGCCTACTGCTCCGCGGTGTTTGCAGGTAGGAGGGGCCAGCGATCCCCCCGGAAGAGGAGGGTGGGATCGGGGAGGGGACGCCGCGGCTCTCCACCCCGGAGAGCACCGGGATGTGAGAGACGACTCCTCGCCCAGGCCAGATCGCTTTTGAGTGTTGCAAAGGCACACATCCTCGGGGAGAGGCGACTCAGAGGGAAACTGAGGCAAACAGGGAGAAGTGGCTGAGCGGTGCTTGCCTGGGGCCTGGAAGCTGAGCCCGGGTTAGGGCTAAGGGGGGTCCGGAAAGCAAGGTCAGCATCTCTCCTGCGCTCTCTGGATCTCTTAAAAGAGGCCTTTCCATGTTGTGGGCTGCAGAGCGTTGTACCGCAGGGCTCCCCTCCTCTCCCCGGAAGGCTGGTCCCGGGCCTATTTATAATCCAGCTCTCTTTCCCCGCCTGGGCCTGGCGGCTCTCCTCGGCCTTTGCTCTGTATCACAGGCTGGGCTGGCAGGCAGGCAGCCGCTGGAGGCAGAGGCACCGCCCACCTGTCCAGGGATCCTACCCTTGTTCTGGGCACAGGATGGGAGAATTTTAGCCTGTTAGGGGCTACCCACATGCTAAATTGGATGGAGTATCTCTGTGCACAGATTGAGGCTTCCTTGAGCAGGGGGCACCTGCTCTAACAGATTGAGACCTCCTGCAAGAAGGTCTTTTCTTGTTTTGACTGGGCTTCTCCAGGAGGTGCGGGCTGGGCTCTGTCTAGTTATCTGGGACCCTTTCGGGGTTGAGTCAGAGCTGGGATCTACACAGCTGGGTCTGTGGGTTTGGAGCCATGATGGGAGAGAAGAACCATAGGGCAAGAGAGTGAAAACCCATCTGTACACCCACCCTAGGGGTTCACACTCAGCCTCTATCACCTGTCACTCCCTTTCTACCCCGGAGATCTGGCTACATCCCAGGGCTCCAGAAATCATTTTATTGGCTGGTCCCTGGGCATCCAGCAGACATTCCCTTTTAGTTTCGTGAGCTCCTGGACTGACCTCTTCCCAGATGCCCATGTGCACATATGCTTCCAGACACATGCATACCGGAAGTGCAGGTGACACCTGCAAGTTCCAAGAAGTAGAGGCTCAGAGAATGCAGGCATGTGTCCACAACAGCACACACAGATGTGTCATATCAGGTGCGTGCGCACACACACGTTCCTGAGTGTGTGGGGATCTGGGGTTTCTCAAGAAGGAGTCACTGAATGGATGGGTGGCTTGGAAGGCCGTGTGCACCGAGGGTGGGGGTGTGGAGTGGGAGGTGACACTCCAGCTCTGCTTGTTTCCTATCACATTGCTTTGACCTGTTCTGAACCAGTTTCCCACAGTTGCCTCAGGAAATGAGCTTTGTCAAGGTGTTTCCAGGGGGAGAAGGAGGGCACCCGTGGGGGACTTCCACACTTCCTCGGCATCCTCTGAGCAGCCCAGCCAGTGGTTCACCTGCACAGCTGGGACTAGCAGGCTGGCTGAGGGCCCTGGGCGTCGAGTTGCAGAACTCCAGAGAGCACCGCTCACTCAGTACATCCCCCCTCCCCACCCCCCCCTGCTGAGGGCAGGGAGGAGACCTTTGCTGCCAGAGGGAAGACAGGCACCCTGTGCTCTCAGCAGCGGCCTCCTGCCCCCTCCCCCAGCACAGGTTCCCCCCTTGAGGGCTGAGCAGGCTCTGTGAACCCCACCCCAGAGCTGCCCAGGGTACAAATGAAAGGCCAGAAGGGCCGCCTTGGGGCCCCTGCCTCTGTTCTCGGGAGTCTTGTCTGCTCTGGCGTCCACTCAGCCTGAACTAGATTTTCCTCCATCTTCTCTGAGTGCATCTCCCGCCTACCCAACTCCCCCCCACCCTCCTCCACACACACACACTTGCTTCAGACTTCATGGTCCCCCTCCCCCCTTACACCACCCCCAGCCCTGGTCAGGCTCAGAATCCTGTAAGAGAAAGGAAAGGATGAATAATGAATGGGGAAGCACTTTCTAACCCACAGGAAGCACCGCTGGTGGGGCTCCTTTCCTGTCGTTACTTCAGCCCCCAGGGCTGTCTGTGGAGCATCTGCAGTCCTGCCCCTCTGCCTGCGATCTGGCTCCTCTGGGGGGGCTCCTCCGTCCCTGGGGAGAAATGAACCCCTACTCGCAGTCATCACAGTCACTGCCAGGCAGTCATGGGGAGCGCAGTCCCTCCCTCCCCAGCCCTGGCCACGTCCGCCTCCTGCGTTGGCCAGGCTCTTAACCCATGTCCAAATTTGGCCTCCCTGCAGCATATAGGCCTGCTCGGCCTCCTTCTCCCGGCCAGAGCCAGACTGGTGAATGATTACACCGAAGGCTCTGGTCTCAGGGCAACACTACTCAGAGCATAACACCCTTCTGGAAAGTCTTCCATCACCAGCTGGCCCTTAATGGGGCCCATAAAGCCCCTCCTTTGGCTACCTGATTATAATACCCGTACGACACCTCAAGGCTCCTCCATGCATGCATAAATTCATTTCCTGCTCACAGCAGCTTTGTGAGGTCAAGGGGCAGGGATATTATCCCCTTTTACAGATGAGTGGATAGGCCCAGAGAAGTGCAGGGGCCTGGCCAAGGTCACCCAGTGACCAAGTCACCCCCCACCTCACCCACGTCATCAGTGCCCTCTGCTGTTCTCAGCGTCCGGGCTCGTGAATGAGAAAGTGCTTTGGAAAGCATACCATGTGCTGCCCACACGCGGGACAGCCTGGGCCTGAGCCGGCACGAGGGGAGGGCTGTGTGTGGGGTACCCAGCACGGGCTGAGTCAAAGTGGGGGGCGTGCAAGGCCGCGGGGAGCACAGAGTATGACAGGTGACCAAAAGATCGAGGATTCCGATTCTGAAAGTGCGTATTCATGACAAGGAGAGAGAATGGTCACTCATGGAGCACAAATAATGTAAGGTTTTCAGATGCTGTTTCCTTAAAACCCCTCAACACTCCAATGAGATAGATTTAACTGATTTATACTTATTGGGTGCAAGGCACTGTTCTTAATAGAACTTACTTCCTAGGAGCTCTGTCAAGTTCAAGTTATAATTTATACCAGGCACTTGTATAGACGCTTAATGCTCCTAGCAACCATACATGGTAGCAAATATCACCCCTACTCTACAGGCGAGAAAACTGTACCACAAAGAGGTCATATGCTGGAATTAGCAGAGTTTGTTTGGATTCCAGCCCACACAGTCTGGCTCCAGATCCCCATCTTTAACTGCTCCACCACCTCCCTCTGGTCTCAGCTCTGATTTACAAGGGACAAGCAGTAAAAAGGGGAGGGGCAGGAGTAGACCCAGGCCTGCCTCATGCCCCAGAGCCCAGTCTCAGGCTGCAGTGGCCCCCTCACCTCCCGCCTTATGTCACACGTTGCCCCTGCTGCCACTTGCTCCCTTTCTCCCTCGGGCCCAGACATCCTCACACTCACTCTCTGGTCTGGAGGATGCTTTCTGAACTCAGAGGGGTTTCTGCCCTTCCGCATCACTGTCTCTGCATCTCCTGGGATCAATCAGTCACCAGACAGCCCAGGATGCTCCCTCTGGGTGGTACCCTTATGCCAGGCCATCCAAAGGCCTCTGGCAGGGCTGTGGTGGCTGCTCCAGATCTGATAAGCTGAGACCATGGTCCTGGGTCACAGGGCACTGAGGTGGGCAGCCTACAGTGGGTGTGGCAGGCACCCAGGGGCCTCCAGAAAGGGGGCATGGGCCCCAACCGTAGCCAGTCGAGTGGGGTTGAAGGGCTCAGGAGTGCAGAAAGCGGCAGCCTTGGTCACATTGCAGTGGGATGAGAGCATCAAACAAGAGGGAGAGAAGGATGGAAGCTGAGGGTATTGGCTCTGCACCCAGACTGCCTGGGATCCCACTATCCAGCTGTGTGTCTTTGCGCAACTTACTTAACCCCTCTGTGTCTCAGTTTCCTCATCTGTAAAGTGTTGATAATAGTAGGATCTGCTTTGGAGGGATGGTTCTGAAGAGTAGTGTTTCGAATAGTGCCTGGCACTCAATCCATGTTAACTATTTTTACTGTTATTAGATATGATAATACATATATTTATTATACTTAGTATAGTAAACATGTATTGTAAATATACTAAGAAATCACCGCACACATCCCAAAAGCCTTTCACTATCTTTTTTGTCTGGTCTGTCTTACTACCAGCTCTGTTTTTCCATCTACTCTCCTACCAGACTGGGCACAGTGAGCCGAGTGGCTGAGTCCCCCAAGGGACCCTGGTCCTGTCTCCTCTGGCTGCCCCTCCTGGAGCAGTCCCTTCTGAGCCCGAGGCATCTGTCCACTTGCCTGATGGCTGGCTGTGGCCCTGGCCAGCGCGCTTGATCTTTCTTGAAATTAGTATCCTTCCAGTGACTCCCCGAGCCCACAAACCTCAGTCCTGCTCCCCAGGCCAAAGTCTCTTTCTTTCTCTACTCAGTGCATGCTAGTCTCTTTCTAGTTTGGGTCATTAGACTGAACTGTTAACAGGAAGAGCGCTAGCATCCACTGGGTCCCGACTGTGCACCAGGCGCGCTGTGGGAAGGACTAGGGTTTGGCCGAATCCTCCTAACACCTCTGTGAAGCATCATTCTCTTGATTTCACAGAAGTGGAATTAGACTCTGAAGGGTCAAGTCCCAAGCCTCGGGACACACGGCTAGAAACGGGTGGACTGGGATGGATGCCTGGGGCCATCTGATTGTTCCTGCAACAGGGCACTTCTTCTCGGCAGTCACGTATTCACAGCTGTAGCCAGGATCCCTCCTGCCTGCGCAGTCCACACCCCTACACCCCTGGTGGACATGCCCCTCCCGTTCCGCCCGCTTAGATTGGGATACCTGCAGGGCACAGATGCTTCAAAGAACGTGAGGGGCGAGGGCAGGAAGATGCATTGGATCACCCATGCTCTTGGAAGCTTCTGGACCTTGGCAAATATGCCCTGAAGGAATCCTGTAAACTCCCACGCAGAGTGTTCATCTCAAGGCTGTTCCTATTGGAAGCAGAGGGGCAAGGTTTGTTTGC